TCGAGCTTCAAGGATTCGCTGCCCTTCAGCTCCTCCAGATGATAGGCACGCTGCATGGCCGCATTTGTGGTGCCATCCAAACAGATCACATAGTCCACCATGTCGCCCTTTTTATATCGTCGATTGCGTTCGCGATTCATGCGCAACGCCACCTGAACATGGGGCAGCGAGGAGCTGTTGGCATACTCTTGGGGCGCACGTGTCAGCTGCTTGGTGATGACATACAGCGGTAGGGGCACAGCCGACTGTGTTATTTGCTCCTTGATGCGTCCGAGCTGGGCGTGCACAGCCTCAAGTTTATCTTCCAGCGGCTTGTCGGCCAGGACTTCATCTAGCACCGCCTTGCCCACCATGACGGCCAACTGTGACCAATCGCGACGCACAATGTCAAGACCCTTGTGCTCCTGTTCGCGTAGCAGCACGCCCTTGGCATTCTTGCTCAACTTGACGGCGGCATATTTCTTCTTCTTGAGCAGCAGCAAACATGCAAAGACGCCATCAATGTCCAGCTCCAGTTGTTTGTAGAGCTTATTCACGCTCTGCTTGATGGTGTGCCCAATCTTGTAGACCTGATCATAGTCGGTTATATTTGTGTTTATCATCAGCGAATCCGTGTCGCCATAGACCACATCATAGTTGAGCTTTTGCACGAGCTGCTGTGTGTTAACCAGAATCTCGCGTCCCTTGTGCGTCACCAGCGCCGCGAGATGCTGCGCAAAGAAACGCGAATGCGCAAATCCCAGACAGCCGTACATGGAGTTCGCGGTCAGCTTGAGCGCCATTTGTCGAATGTGGTACTGCATATGCAGCTCCGGCGCTAGATCCGGCGCAGCCATTAGCTTCTTGACCTCGCGACGCGACTCCACCAGACGGCGAAGCTGCAGCGGCAAAATGCCCGGCTCCGCACTGGAGTCCGGCAGTATAGGCAGCTGCTCCGCATCATGTGGCTGCTGCACCGTGGTGAAGCATATATTATACTCCTGTATAATGCTCGGATATAGCGAATTGAAATCCATGAGCAGCACATACTTCTCGTAGAGGCCACGCATGGGTTCCAGCACCAAGCCTCCCGCATAGGCGGCCTTTTTACGCGCCGCACCAGCGCCCGCTGCCACTGTTGTGTCCTGGCTCGTGGCATCGGGGTCAGCAGCAGCAGCGACACGTCGCGCTGGCAGCTTGTCAGGCACTATGTAGTTCTTCTCGTGGAAGGCGTGCAGCAGCAGGTACTCATTGCGCTCGGAGCGACCGCCCTGGAGTGTGCGGGTCATTGTATTGCCGCAAATGTTGGTTATCTGCAGCGCCAGCGGCATGATGTTCAGCTCGCACATGAGACGCAACATATAGGATGCGTCCTGCATGGTCAGCGAGATCAGCTTGGTGACGTTCTCGCCTGCCGAAGAAGAGTGGTACTTATAAATCGAAAACCTGAACAGAGAGTGGCAAGCACTTACCCTTCTCATACATCTCGAGCAGATCATCAGCATTGACCTCCATGCGCTCCGATTCCTGCAATTTGAGCACCTGCTGGCACAGCGTCTGCAGATCATAGGATCTGGCTCTGATGCACTCCTCGGCCGACCTCTTCACATCACAAACCATGCGACCCACAAAATGATCCAGCAGCCTTTTGCCAAATGTTTGCGAGAAACGCAGCCGACCCATGCGTGACCACTGCGGTATCTTGAGGGCCACTATCTGATCTGTAATCACATTTAGCTGGCAATCCATGGCATCAAAGGTGACTATGAGATCCGCATCGATTTGCTGATATTGCGCCAGAAACCAGCTGAGCAGCGCACGCTCCGAGTCATGTTTGTAGATCTTTGTCGACTTGTACTTGGTCAGCTGCAGATTCAGGTCAAAGGGCCAGCTGGAGACAGCGGGTCGCGTGAGTGCGCACATGTGACGATTGAATGCCGGCTGCGGCGCCGGCCTGTCAATGTGAAAACGATTGTGGGTGAGCATGGATATCATGCAGATCTCGTTCTTCAGTGTCTTTGGATTCATGGAGGTGCGCACGTTGAGTGTGAGCAGCGTTAGGGCAGGCGGCGGCGCTGCTTTACCCTGTTCCACGGGCACTAGCTCCACGTTCTTGGACTCGCTGACTGTCACATCCGTTTTGCACCAGCTAATTGGTGCCGGATTGACATTAAAGCCGCTTATCTGCAGCCAACAGGGACCCTTGATCTTGCGCTCCAGCAGAAAACGTTCCAGTGCATTGGTGCTGGCGCCAAAGATGTGCGCTATGGAGTCATATTTCTTGTTAAGCATGTTCGGCGCCGGCTTCTTGCCATCGTAGTGCACCTCCAGGTAGTCACAGGTCTGCGGCACTTCGATGCCAATTGCGTGATTTGCAAAGCTTTTGCTCACCTTGCGCGAACGAAACGTGTCCAGCTTCAGTTCGGTGGCAATGTGCGTGTCAAACTCCTTGTACATGTCCGCAGCGGTAACCTTTTGCTTGGTTGGCTCCTTGGTTATGGGATCTAGTAACTGTTTGTGTCGCAGATTAATCAAGAGTTGCATTAGCGCAAGTTTGGCTTTATACTTACATATTGTCTGGGCAGGAGATATAGCACACGATTAATGTTCTGCACGCGCACGCATATGGACTTACCGTCGGGTGTGCGCCCAAAGAGAAACACCTCGCCGGGCAGCTTGATTGCATCCTCCCAGGCCTCCCAGTACCAGAAGCGCAACTGCTCGACATCCACAGGATCGCTCCCCAGGGCTGTCTCGGCCTCGGTGGCCAGCACTGATTTCTCAAAATCATCGTCCATTTGGCAGATGGACTCCCAGTTGCTGAGCAGCTTGCTCATATCGTCGGCCTCTTGTTTTGCAGTTACAGCTGAAGGGGGCTGAAGCTCTGGCTGCGCTTTGGACGCTGCCAGCTCAAACTGGTTCTCATCGTCGTCCAGGCAACTGAAGTCCAAGTCATTGTCAGGGCAGAGCTCAGGCGTAGCTTCTTTTGCCTTCGTTCTGGGCTGCTCAGCAGCTGTTTCAGCGACTCGCTCCTGCTTCACTTTGATTGCAGCTGGAGCAACTGGCGTTGCCTTTTTGTTGGGCAGCATAGCTGACTTTGGCTGCAAGATGCGGTCCAGCATTTCATCATCGTTGCCGGCGTCTTTTTTGCGCTGCTGTTGCTCCTGCTTTTTGATGTTGCTCAGAAAGCTATTCATGTACTCCTTGGCAGCGGCTGCATCGGACTTGCGTGTGGCGGCCATAATTTTGGCAGGTGCAATCACTTTATGCTGCTGCGGCCTTGACGCCGCGTCGCCAGCTGGCTCTTCTTTGATTTCGCCCAGTATATCGGCCAGGATATCATCATCTTTGACACTGTTTTTGATGTCTGTCTTCTTTGGCAGCGCATTGCTGAAAAGATTGCGTATGGATGCTTTGCCCTTGGCAGGGCCTGTGTCGCTGTCGCGTGCTCGTTTCTTTCCGTTTCCAGCTTTCTTTTTCTTGGCATCGCTCTGACCCTGCTCACCGTCAGAATAGTCATCTTCATCCTCGAAGAAATCGCGACCATCCTCCGCGTAGCCAGTGCCGTCTGTGGACGGCATTATATTTGGTTGGTGGCATGGAAATGGGTATTTCTATGACTTACCATCTTCAATCCAATCGCCGCCGTATTTTTCATTTGCACGCTTCGCATATTCGCGCTCGTCCACAACTTCATATACATCGTCCACTTTTTCTTCCACCTCACATTTGTTTTTGGTACCCTTCAGGCCTCGGAGGCGCTCCAAGGCTGCGAAGCGGCCCGTTTTGTCAATTCGCTGACGCTTGACACGCGGACCAGCTATGTGGGCAACTCTCATCAATTATAAACATTTTTAACACTATAGTTTGACTACTTACAGGGTGAATCTGCCATTTGGAACGCCGCAAATTAATTAGATTCTATCAATTTACGCAGTCTGAAATCTTTTCAGAAAAGGCGGGAAAGTGTCAGTGTGCACACATGAAAGCATCGCAGCAAACTTGCTTAGCCCTGGCGTTGCCCCATCGATAAGCACTTCGTTAACAGAACTACTCCTCCAATACACAGATAGCGTTCAGGCTCTCTGTGATGTGCGCAAATTGCTCCTCATATAAATAGTTTAGTCATCCTGTTAACGAGCTGTGATTCCGCGTCAGCACCCCCTTAAATCTTTTACTTTTAGGCGCTATAAAGCTACGAAGCCATACGACTTCTTCTTCATATTAACAGCCAAATATGTATATTGTAAGCACAAACCATATTAGCAGATTTTGCCCCTACGTCACCTCCCGCCTTTTGTATTTTATTTTATGGTTCCAAAGTGTCCCGTTTTGTTCAATGCACTGCCAATAGACACGCGGCCCAGCTATTAGGGAAACCGTATTGTGTAAATATATGTGGTTACATATACTATGTATAATCCGCATACTAATATATGCATATAATTTAAGAAGTTACTAAAGACCGATATTTTTCAGAAAATGCCGCGAAACTGATCAGTGTGTACACTCCGAAGCAACGAGCTCAAATGGTCCGATATTGGCGTTGCCCCATTGTCAAATTGTATGAGTTAACATAGCGCCTTTCACGGTTAACAGACTTCGCTCTCGCTAATCGATAAATTCACCTGTTACTCTTGCTTTTCTTTTACTGTAGACCTATTACTCCTCCTGAAATTTAACAGTCACCGTGTGAATTTATGCTTACAAAAAATTAACATATTTACTCAATGGCTAACAGTTTGGCTAACAGAATCACTTGAAAAATGAGCACTACTCCTCACTTGTACAGCTGCTATTGTTACTGTTACTGTTAACAGACTCACTCCTCACACTACCGACTTCAATCAAAGAGCGCGAAAATTGAAAGTAAATATTTAACAAAATGAAAGACTTGCTTATTTGTTGTTTTCTCGTTTTTATATTTTATTTGATCATGCATAATATTAAGCTTAAAATAATATTTTTAATAATATCTTTAAAATACAATATACAGCAATTGCGTTTATATTTCGTGTTTATAGAAGGCAGTTACATACATAATTATCTTTCATTTTACTCTTATATCGTATTATTACAATACATATGTAAAGTTCTGGTATGTATACACATACACTCAAGCAGACTTACATATTACACATATATACGCCACATACATATTTATGACTATGCAAAAATTCATACATATTTACAATTTGATAGAAAATATTAGAATTTTTGTGTGTAGTCTTCAATTTGGGGTTGTGATTAAAAAGCAGATTTGCCAGATATATAAAGATGCGAAGAATACTGTTTTGGAATTTGGGAAAATAGTATTGCGAACAGTGAAATACATAGTGAAAGGAACTGTGAAATTGAAAATGTCAGTCTTCCAGGAAAAGCATTTAGATAATGTGAAAATTTAGAGAGAGAGATAGAGAGAGAGGAATGGGTGCAGATAATGAAAACGAATTTTAAAATTGTGCTGGAAATTCAGATTCATGCTTTAGAAGGGTGTAGGGTCTTTGAGGTATTTTCAGCTATGGAGTATACATATATTGGTACATATTTCATAACAGATTCAAGCCAAAGACATGGCACAAATATAAATTTAAACTTAAGCAAATGTTTCCAAGTCTGCCAGATGCCGATCCGATAGTAATGCTAAACATTTAACAACAGCAACAAAACAACAATAACGGTTAACAATGCAAAACACGCGGCAACTGCAATGAGAGTTAAATCACAATATTAGATAAATGTATAAAATGTTGATTTCGAGCTCAATATTTACCTAGCCACAGTGCTTGCGCCCACACAGCTGGCACGCCCCGTGGTGGACAATCACACCACCTGAACCGTGGCAAAGGCGCTGAACGTGACCTTCTTGGGAAATTCGGGACCCGGCGAGCCACGTGTCTTGATAACGGGTTTCAGCGGCTGGCGTGGCTTCAGCGACAGGAGTCCGGCGGATGCGGCAAGTTCGCGTAGTCGCTGGGAGAAGCCGCTGCCGCTGGAATTGCTGCCGTTTGCTGTTGTCGCTGCTGCACTATGATGCTCCAGGCCGGCGCAGTCGAGGACATCGAGTCCATTGTTGGAGCGATAGACCTGCGCCGTGGCCGTGGGATATACCGCCAGACTAGTGCCGCCCGTCGTGCCGCAATTGCTGCCCCCAGCTGCTGTTGTTGTTGTCGCTGCGGCGGCTGGCGTGATGTAGCTGCAAAAAAAGAGAGACAGTGGAAAATTGAATTAGTCAGTCGTTGCGCTAATTGATTTATTTTTTATTTGCCAAAAACTTTGGGGTGTGAACAGCGTTCACAAATAATCTGATCGATAATCGGAAAGATGAGTCGCACACAACTGCGAACTGGCCAGCGAATTGGCATGTGGCAAACATGCCATAAAGTGGGTTGGCTACCACAACAAGACCCGCCCGGCAACAAGCCACTGAACTTAAGATCTTGCATTCAGATCCGTGTGTTATTCGATAAATATATATATCATATATTTTTTTTTGATATACAACTAACTTAAACAGCATCCACGAAGCGTGCTGTTTATTTTCATACACTGCTGCAATTTTCAATGTTGTTTCGACCTTATAGATGCTAATTAATTTGTTTATGCGATTCGTGCTCAGGCAATCGATCTTTGAGCTGATGCTGCGCTACTTTTGGCCAACCATTTACCAATATACATATTGTATACACATATACAGATATAGATTTTGTGGGTTTAAGGCTTTTTTCGCCTAGTTTTTCTGTTTTATTTGTTTATATTTTTATTTTATTATTGTTGAACTCACGCAATACAACAATAAAGTATATGCAAATGAGTTCAAGCTGAGTAGATGCGCAACGGCAGCTGCAAAGTTAATTGTTTATTCGCAACTCAAATTGTTTGCTAAAGAAAATTAATTGAAATTAAATTGATGAGCGTGAAGCGACAACTTGTCTTGTGAACTAGTTTTGAGCTGAGAGCTTGGCTTAGATATACTTTGCATATTTACAAGTATGCACACTCTAAATCCTCTGCTAGATTCATATTTGTCGAGCATATGTTATATTTTTTCTTATTTTTTTAAATATATGTTAATATATTTTATATTTTTTTATATTTTAAATTGGACATCTCGCGGCCAATATTAATCATAAAATATTTGTGTATTTAATATGTGTATTAAATATATATATATTTTTTTTAATAGATTGCTTACGGCCTTTCACCGAACTATCTTTTTTTTTAAAGAAAAACTATCTTTAATAAAAATTGTAATTGTAATAAATGTTTTTATATATATAATCATTTTCATTTTTTATAATTTAAATAATTTGATTTCATATTTTTAAACTATTTGAGGCAAAGCTCGGCGCTAAAGCATAAATAACTTGCACATCAAGTTTTGGATTTAATGTAACATATTTTGTAGGTGCCAATTTTTGGGATGAAATCAAAAAACTTGGACTACGGCTTGCAATAATTGTAGTAGAACAAGCAATTATAAGTGGAAAATTTAATTGTTTTATGTAAAACTAAGGCTGGAACCAAGGGCTGGGTACAAGTATGTATAAAGGCGGGTTCCTGAGCCAAAACTAAGGACAGCAAGTTGACTCGAACCGTAAATCGAACCATTGCATTTATCTTGGTTTGCAGTCCTTTTATATTGCTTAAACTTATGCTTTAGAAAATGTTTAAAGTTGTCTTAGTTCCTTATGTATTATTTATGAATTAACATATGTTTGTATCATCATGTGTATCATGTTTATATATATATTTATTATCAAATCAATTTTCGTATTAAGCCGCTTGCACTTATTAAGCTGTTTGTGTATTTTTAAAAGTTGTGTAATTATTGTTAGCTTTTGTTGTTGTTTTGCTTTTGTTAATTTTGTAATACGCATTGCAATTGGATTGCAATTTTTTATTTTGGCAGCCTTGCCTTTAAGCATAATTAGCATAAACTGCCGCGTGCTTTACTTCCTCATAATGTCAACAATTTAATGTCAATTCATTTATATATTTCGTCGTCATTGTTATTGTTGTTGTTGGCCAAGCAATTGGCATTCACCGAGCGTCAGTCGCAGAGTTGAGCGACAGGCGCTTAATGCATAAATAAATTAAAAAATAAACCGTGTTAAATGTGTTTCTTTATTTTAATTTATTATATTTGACTTTTTGCCGCCGAACTTCACTTGATTTTGAGTCTTGATATAATTTATCGCACAATACACGTCTGGGGCGAGCATTAATTAAGCCAATGCTGCGGCTCTGTGGGTCATCTCCATAGACAAAAATCTCAGCTAGACGACGCATCATTCGAAATGCTTTACTTCAATTAAATTGAACTAGTGCGCCGGCCACTTAATCGTAATGTTGCGGCTCGCACGAGTACCTTCAATGCGCATTTTAATTTTATTTTATTATTATTGTACTTTTGTAGCTGAATGCCAAGCCGTGTGAATTCGTTTTACATTATCAGGCAGTCAGATTTGTACGCTTCATTGTTGTTGCTATTGTTGCATTGTCTTGTTGCCGCGGCTTATGTATATATAATTAAGCATTATCAGCGGCGAATGGAAAACAGCAGATGCCAGATGGGAGGCATACCTTTGACTTGCATACAATATAAATGCCTTTTTGCTTTTGTATCTTCATTTGTTTGTTGGTTTTTGGCATTGAACTTTGCTTTGACTTTGAGTCTGGTGCTTTTGAAAGTGTTCAAGAAATCCTAATTAATTATTATATTATAAACATCTTCCATATTGTTAAGGGGCATGTGTGCATGTGTGAGAAAATTCCATTTTGTACATTTTTCACACAATTTACGCTCCTCAGTTGATATTTAGAGCGTGCATTTTGTGGCAATGTCAGCGAAAGTTTGATCTCTATAATCTTTACGAGGTATTCTCTAATTAACGTGTATGGAAAGATTAAAGTTCGTTTAATTTTTAAGTATTATGCATATTACATTAATAATTTTATAGAAAATAATTTATACATGTTTGCATTATTTTTTATAATTTTTTGTTTCATTATTTTTTTTTTCATTGTATATATTTAGTTTTCCTACCGAATCCTTCAAGAATTGTATTCAAACGAAAGGTAAGGAATTTTTTAAATTTGTTTTATATTTATTTATTTTTTTTATTTTAATAAAATATATATTTTCATATAAAGTCCAACAAAAATTTTATTCAGAAAATGAAATGTATTTTATATTTATGAATAAATTATTTATTTTAATTTTCTAAGTATTTTTTTGTCCATTTCCTGAAGCTGTCAGCTTCTTTTACACATATTCTAATGCTTTACATTAAAGCAAAATTTTATCTTTAACTCAATTTAAAGCTCTTGCTAATTTCGGCCCAATTCTCAGCGGCTGTCACAGCTTGTTTTCCTTAAACGTCTTCTTTCAATTTGATTATAAATCAATGTCGCGTTTGTTGCCTAAGTCTTTCGTTGTTGTTGCTGTCGCTTTTCAAGTTTATAAATTTGAAATTGAACCCGCGCGAAATAGACTTATTTTAAAGCGGGGCAACCCTTTTGCTGCCTCGCTAATCGAGGAAATTAATAAATAGGGCTTATGTTGTAAATTTTTGTTTGTAAACAAGCAGCGTGTTGAAATGCTCTTTGTCAATATATGTGTGTGTGTGTGTATTGTGTCACGAATTTGTTTGTTTGGCTTATTAAGTCGTCAACAAAAATTTGACAAATTGCTTTACAAGTGCCGTCTTGTCCCAGCCAGTTTGTTGCCCAAGTCTTTTGTTTGCCCATTCGTCTATTGGCAATTGGCAGCTGCTAAAAAGCAAATGGCAAGCGCAGCATCGCAATTTGTCAATACGCGACTGACATAAATCCATCAATGCATTCGGATAGAAAATCAATAGCCCAACACAGTGGAGGCCAGGCAAAAAACTTGCATAATAAATACGCAAGGCATTGCAATAAACAAGCGACAGCGCGGCAGACGCAGATCAGCCGTTGCACTTGCTTCTAAGCATAATTACATATTTCGCTTACATGCCGGTTGCAGTTGCACTCGTTGCTGGCCGACTGTGTGGCATGTTAAGCAGCTGTGTGTGTCTGTGTGGAGCTGGGGCACACATAGTGGCAAAAAGGCAAAGACAAAAGAAGCGCCGCACAAGCGCAGCTTCACATCCGCATCGCTGACTGTTGGCTGCGCTGCTGCCTGCCCAATGCTGCTTGCTGCTTGCTGCATGCCCCAACAATTGCTTCATTTTGAGCAAATGAAAAGCAATTTTGATGCAGCAATTATGTGTGCCTGGCTGCCAGGCGCAGCATTCTGTTGTGCTGCAGCAAGTTCGTTGCTTGAGTCTTTTGTTTTGCATATGACAAAAATGTTGGCAGCCAGTGTCAAAGATAGTAGCAGATACAAGCGCAGCAGCAGCCAGGTGCTCCTTAAAATGCCTTGTAATAACAGTGCTGCTCAGCCTGCCACAGTTTGATAGAAATTGTGTGCAGTTTGACAAGCATTGTGAAGCTTCGCAGGCAGTGCTGCCTAAAAGTTAATAAATGCTATGCAAAATGCCATTTGATATCTATAAAGCACCTACAAATGCAGGTTTGACAAGCATTGTGCCAAGTCGATTTTAAACTGTTGCCCAGTTGATTTTTTATTGGCATCTTGCAACAGGAAAAGTATTATGAATGTTGTTGTTATTGGTTTCGATTGCTTATTGTTGTCGCCGCCTTATTAGAGACATATATAAAATATATACTCATTATCATTAGACATGCTTAACTCTTGACATTTGCTTTTTTAAACGGGTTTGCGATTTGACCAAATTAATATCACAATAATTTGTTGTTATTAAGCATGGGTGTTCGCCACAAAGTTCTTATTGCCTAAAAATGTCAAGGTTCCGACAACAACAACAACAACAACAACAACAAGCAGCAGCAACAACCACAACAACAACAAATAACAGCAAAAGCAATTTGCAACAAGCTAAACACAATTTCTAATTATTATTGAATATGAGCCTAAAGCCAAGTAACAGAATCGCTGCCCGTCTGTCTGCGGCTAGTCATGCACAGGTTGACCGAAAGTTCAACTGCCCCACACACACACACACACACACTCACACACACACACACACACACATATACGCTACACAACAACAGCTTGGCAAATGAAAAACAAATCTTTCACACGTTCAAAATGCGCCAAAGCGCGGGGCAGTCTATTGATAGGCA